GAGTACAAAAAACATGAAACTGACCTATACGTATAGTTGTACATTGGGCGAATTTCAGCCTCTCAAAATTTTCACTTTTTACCCCACCGTGTAATAATATTTAATATATATATATATGTATAAAAGAATATGTATTTATTTATATTTTTTTATTACAAAGAAACGTACATCGGAGTTGGTGAACTAATTTTAATGCGATGACTTACGTCTTGTTTGGACGCGGGAGAAAATTGTACCGGATTGGAGTTGATCAATCCCCACGTAAACGGCGGTGAGTGCCGCCAAGTTCTGCGGTCAACGGATTTGGTTGGTCAAACTTTCTCGTCTTCATGAATTTTTAATTTTAATATCTCTGTGCTTTTTTCCTCACTCTTCTCCCTCACTCATTAATCATTGTTTTATGTACAATAAAAAATATATATATATATACATACACACACAATATAATATTATTATGTCAGTTGGGTAAATGAAATTTTTTTAAAAATTAATTAGGATTTTAATTTACTAAAAAAAAAAATACGTATTTTTTGTAAATAAAAAGTTTAATTTAATTAAATTTAAATATTTGTTCGTCTTTAAATATATATATATATAATTTAATTAAATTTAATCACTGTAATTTAATAAAAATATTAATAATTTAAATAATTTATTTTTAAGTCGCTAAGAGAGTTCCGTGTTGGATTTAGACTGATTAATCAGAGAGTTAATACGTTTTATCTGTAAATCAAATAATTAATACTCACTAATCCAGCACCTGAAAAAAACTGAATACTACTCCCGAAAACGAACATACCAGTATCTACATCGACAAGCCATAGCTGCCAAGAAACCAAGCTCCGTTTTCACACACACATCAATAATATCTGGTATGTACACGAGCAACAAACCTTTACGATCTGAATCCAACCTCAAACGATACACGAAAAGCACAAAATCGAAAGGAGAAAGCGCGGAATCCGAGGATCAAGAGACAGCGACTCCGCCGCCGTTACCGTTCAACACGCAGAACCTGGAAGGCGTGGGCTGGAAATTCCTCCTCCGCCGGAGATCGCGGCTGGACGGCTTGATGATCTGGAGAAGAACCGCCTTCAGAGAAGCGGGTTTGCCGAAATCCCAGCGGGTCGAGAGACGGCGGAAGTGGGTACCGGGTCGGGCAGAGGAGGAGACGTGGAGGGCTCTGTGCATGCTGCAGCGGAAGGAGCCAGGGTGTGTGGTGGGAGAACACATGCACGTGCGGGATTTGGATTTGGAAGACGAGGGTTTGGACGCCATGGAAGTTGATTGGATGGTTGCTTGAATTGAAAACCGAGAATCTAATGTGTGATTCTCTCGTTTATCGGCCTGGCAAACTGGAAGACAGTTGGGAATTTGGGGCAGATTTATAGCTTAGTAAGTTTTATTCGAAATTACCTAAATACCCTTTTCCTTTTAATATAAAAAAAATTCATTAGTCTAATTATTTATAATATTTTAATAAAAATTTATATATTTATAATTTTATAATAATATATAATATACATTATACTA